TGCTTTGGGCTGCTTGTCCCAAAGAAGTGGGGCAGGGGGTCCCCCAGCCGTGCCCCTGTTTGCCCCCCTTTCATGATGCCTGCCAGAGACGGGTCTCTCTCAGAACCGAAAGAATTGGTCCATAAACAGCGCTGGAAGGAAAGTGAAAGGTGCTGGAGCCAGAAGGAGGGGGGCTGCCCCCTGGAAGGTCCCAGGCAGCTCAGGCTGCTCTGAGCACAGCCCCTTGCTGCCACCCCAGCTACGTGCAGTTTTGCCCTGACTTTCATCTCCCCCAGCCAAGCCAAGAACTTCCCACATGGGTCCCTGCTGTGCCACGGGCAGCGTTGCCAAAACTCCCCAAGTCGCTGCTTTCCTTGCTCAGAAACAGGGCTGGCAGCTTGAACAAGCCGCAGACAGCTGATCTCTCCTGCATTTCTTCTCTCCGTATGTTCCCTGTTTTCAGGGAGCTTGGTTGGCCCAGGACAGCGTGAAGCAGAGCCACGAACATCTGGAAGGCAGAACCCAATGGGCCTGGATTTTTTGGCTGCTGAGGCAATGGCCTCAGACCCCCAGATTTGGCTCCCGAGGTGTTTCTGTTCCCGGCGCTGGCTCAGCAGCAATGCCCCAAGCACGCCGTGGCAGGCCCCGATCTCGCGGCACGTTCACGCATGTGCCTGCTCTGAAAGGAGCAACTGCTGCTCTCCAAAGCCTGTGCATGGCATTAACTGTGCTGCGCTGAGCCCTTTATGTTCGATAAACACCTTTGGGAAATGCGTGCTTTCCAAACGCCTGCTTGTCTGAAGTTGGGTTTTCTTCGGAGGAAAAAATGAGCGAGCTACAGCCTTTTCTTCCCAGTGGGCAGGGGACGGTTTTTGCCTGGTTTGAGGTGCTTGCAGACGTTTATTGCTGTGTTAATGTGAATTCTGGCATGCTTCGTGATGGCTGCTGGTGCAGAAAATCCCTCCCTGGCCTGGGGCTGCGTGCTTGAGCTCTGCTCTCGGGACCCTGCTCTGCACCAGCCCCACATCGTGCTCGGTCACCGGCTGCCTGGCAGCATGCGAGGGACCTGCCAAATCCTTTGCTTGTGGCCGTGGTTATGAAATGCCATGGAGCTCCTGCAGAAGGAGCACGGCAGAGCCCTGCGGACGGCTGCTGGTGATGGGGGATGAGGAAGGACAGCTGCAGACACACTGCAGGCACCAGCGTCGCAGCGTGCGGACCGAGCCCCTGAGCCTCGGATAAATGCTGTGGGGAGGGGACCCGGGGCTGACCTGTGGCCCTGCAGAGACCCAGGCTGCTGGCAAGGGAGGGGGTGCCCCTGCCATGGCCTCAGGACCCCCAAATCTGCCCCTTTCCCAGCCTGCAGCCCCTGACACTTGCCATGCATGTCCCATGGGGTCCATCTCCATCAAGCCCTCTAGCTGTCACGGGAAGAGGCATTTTGCTGTCCCTCCCCGAGCCAGGTTTTGCTTTGCCCATGCTGCTGGGTGGGTGCCAGCAGCGGGAGCCTCCCTTGTGCTGCAGGGAGCAGGGGATGGGGCAAGGACATGCGAGCAGGACCAAGCTACTGTGGTCTCTTGGGGTTTCTTTGGGACCAGCAGCAGACCCAAGGCTGGGATGTGAGCCACGCTGCCTGGCCAGGCTCGCTGAACCCCGAGGAGCAGCCTTCAGCCTCGCAGCCCCACCGTGCCCAAACCCAGGGGGCTGCTGAGCACCAGAGAAGCTCGGCACTGTGGCTCATAACCCACCTGCCTGCTGAGCTCTGTCACCATGGAGATGGTTACTAATGAGGCTGGGCTGTTAACGAGGCTCCTGGTCATTTGCTTGCTCTCCTCTTGCTGTGACTCATCACAGCCATCAGCAGGCTTGGGGCTGCCCCAGATTTCCCCATGTCCCCACACCCTCAGGGACAGGAGCCCCTGGTGTCCCTTAGTGCCTAGCAGGGTGGGGACAGACCGAGTTTGCACAAGCTGGGACCATCTTCAACCTCTCTGCCTTCAGCCACGGAGTTGGTGGGTGGCATGGGTGGCACAAAGGTCCCTCCATCCTCACCAGAAGGGCAGATTTTCCTCTCGGGGCCACTGGTCCTGAAGCTGGGCTCATGAAGCTGCCCCTTGCCACCCGCTCACACCACGTTACCTCTGCCTGCGCCGCGGGTTGGCACCGTGATGCTGCAGCAAGGAAACCAAGCAACATGCGGAGCCCCAAACATCGCAGGAAGCAGCCTAAAAATCCTTGGTAATTAAGCAAGGAAATTGTGTCAGGCTATTTATAGGAGCTCCTCGCAGCGAAGGCATTGTGCTCGCTCCTCAGCCTGGGGAAGCGTCTGCTGCTGGGGGGAGCAGCCACGAAGCTCCTGGTGCGCAACCCGTGGCTGCAGCGGGGACAAAGGCTGAGCCCTGTGGGTTGGAAAAAGGCATCGGGCACAGCTGAACCCAGGGTATTTGAAGGGGCATCAGGGCTTTTGCCAAAAACTGTGTTGCTCTCGGATGGTAAAAGCCCCCCAACCCTGCACTGCTCTGGCCCCAGCTTTGTGCTCGAAGCACGGCAGGAGCTGGGCAGCGAGCCCTTGGGTTTGGAGGCTTTTGGTGTGTCCCCCCTGCCACCACCCCAGGCAGGGCAGGTCCCCACCAGCCCCCGGGCAGGGGTAGCAGGGTGGTGTTGGTGGTGATGCCACCGTGCCCAGGAGCGCACCAGAGCAGGGGGTTCTCAGATGCTGGGGCAGGGGCTGGCCGGGGGTCTCTGCAGCGAGGGGAGACGAGAGTGGGGCTGCAAAAGCTGCTTATGGGATTTGAATTCTTAATCCCCATTAGAAATTAATGTCCAAATCCCTGGAGTGGTGGAAAATCCCACCCCAGAAGTTCATTTTTTCTTAAAACCAGAAAGAAACACAAGCTGCAAGCGTGCGGGACTGGCAGCCCATGAGCTGGGCAGGGACAGCCTGATTTCCTCTCCACGCTGGGCATTTCTCTTCTGAGCTGGCTGTTACAACGCCTGGGGACACAGGATCTCACCCCACTGACTGCTCTTCCCTCTCTGACCCATCCGTCAGCAGCTCCTCAGCATCCTGCTCCCAGATATTTGGGAAAACATTTCCCTCTTCTGTGACGCAAGAGCAGGGTTTGGGAAGCAGCCGAGCAGCCACCCTTTGGGAATCTGTGTGGGTTGTTTTTGCTTTGAAAGTAATTCCCATCTGACTTAGCAAAGGGCTAAGCTAATTTTACACATGACTTACTTTCACACCTTTAAGAAGGGGCAGTTCCCTTCTCGATGAGCAGAGCATATGGCAGTGAAATTGATTATTTGCTGAATGAGTGAGAACACGCAGCACTGAAACTGCCTTTGATGGTGTGACCATTGGAAAAGAGCTGCAGATGTAAATTGATTTTTTTTTTCTCCCTGTGCAGATATGACCGAATAGATCCAGTTACACGTCTGTCTGTGAACTGCAAAGATTGAATTTGGTTGTTCCTTTACCCTGAGAATTGCCGACAAAGATCACAGGGAAAAAAAACAGAGCACAAAGCTGCCGTCCCAGCCTTTGTGGGGCCACGGGGCTCTGCCAGAGCATCCCCAGCCCCTGGCAGTGCAGGGGGTCGGAGCTGTCTCCATGCGTGGCTGGGAATCATCCCCAACATCCTCGCCGCGAGGGAGCCAGGCACTGTCAGCTCGCGTGACGTTTTAATTCAGGTTAATGAAAAGGCCGAGGCAAGAAGGAACAAGCAGGCAGGCTCCTCAAAGCAGGCCGGGCGAGAGCCAAACCCGAGCTGACAACCGCCTGCGGGTGGTGGCCGGCGTTTGGGTGCTGATGTTGGGAACGCTGCGGCTGGGAGGGGGGCATGAAAACAACCCCCACCCCTCTGAGACCCTGTGCACCAACAAACCGACCCGAGACCTTGTGGCAGGGGGAGGTTGTGGGTTTGGGGTTTTAACGAGGCACGATGTGGGTGCGCTCGGGTGGGGTGCACGGGATCTCAGCCCCTGGGGGGGCACCTCCAACGTGCCGGGCCCCCAGCACCTGCCTTGACGCTGTCGGCTTGTGCCACCAAGCTGCTTTCATGCCTGCCCCAAATGCAGGACAAGCCCTGAGGTGGGCAGGATCCGGCACCTGGGCAGAGGGATTCAGCCCGGGGCTGGGGGGTCTGGCTGCTGACTACCCCTGCTGGGATGGAGAGGGATGCTCGGGACCACGCACCACCCCTGTGGGCGCTGTGCACAGAGTGTGAATTATTTCTCATTTTTTGCTGTAAAACTGCGCTTCTGAGGGATGCGTTCATGAAATATAAATGTGAGAGCTTGGAGATGAGCAGAGGGTCTGTGCACACAGCGTTTCCTATCGCAGCCGTGGTTAATAATGCATGACTTGCCTAATGAGGGCTGTGGTCTGAGAGCACTGAACACCCAGCGCCCTGTCCCCAGTGCTTTACCCGCACGGACAGGCAAGGTCCCTACCACCGCTGGGCAGGATCTGTCCAAGGCTCAGCATCATCACGGGGTGGGTGCCAACTGGTGGGGATGGGTTAGCAACTGGTTTGTGATGGGTGGGAACTGGTGGCAGCGGGCTGGTAACAGGCAGTGGGTTGGTGTTGGGTGGTGTTGGGTGGGGATGGGTGGCATTGGCACCATAAAACTTCCCAGATTTGGGGCAGAAAGAATGAAAAGGGTGCTGGGGGTGGGTATATCTGCACAAAAACTTCTTTTCTTAACCATCCCTGGGTGAAAGCCTCACTTTCTGTAACACCCACATCTTCCTGCTGGGAAGACGACCCAGAAGAGTTCACTTGGAGTTAACTGGCATCGAGTCTGTGTCCAGGAGCTGCTGGGCCAAGGTTCAGAGGGGAAGGGACCAGCTTGTGCCCACGTGGAGGTCAGTGCTGAGCTGTGCTAGGGCCAGGGCAGTGACGGGCCAGGGCTGCGATAGGAGCACGAGTCCTGAAGCAACAGCATGCAGGCACCATGGGCCTGGCTGGCACATGGTGCTTTCTGTTCAAAACAATGATGTTGCAAGGCAAGGCTTTAAAGTCCTGTTGGGAAACACGGGTAGCTGGGGCTGTGGGTGGTGGGGAGAGGAGCAACCTTCATCCAGGGATGCTTGAAAGCAAAGGAGCCCCCAGCCCTGCCCGGGCAGGCAGAGCCCGAGCTCTGCACAGCGGGAGAGGTCGCTCCTGGAGCCAAGGTAGATCCAGCCCTTGCTGGAGGACGGGGACAGAGAGAGGCCGAGAAGGTCTTGCAGAGGAGACTCAACCTGGGTAGGATGCCCCAAAAGGCAGGGGGTGGAGTTGTGGGGTACAGCTGGGTGTCGGTGCACAGCCGGGTGTTGGTGCATGGCTGGGTGTTGGTGCACGGGTTGGTGTTGGTGCATGGGTTGGTGTCAGTGCACGGCCGGGTGTTGGTCCCCAGCCCACTGCATCCTTTGCTACCCCTCCTGGCAGGAGGTGACGCTGATGCTGCCCCCGTCACCATCCCTGGTGGTGCCTGGGTGGGTGTCCCCGGGCAGAGGCTGGCCCTGGGGCCGGCAGTGGGGCCAGGTGAGGTTCCCAGTTCCCACCTGCTGGGCCCGGGCTGAGCCTCCCCCTCCTGGCTCCTGCTCTGCTTTCAGCCCAGCTCAGAAACAACCCCTTTGTTTTCTTTAGTTCCTTTCCTAATTTAGACAGCCCCAAGGCCCCGCGGGCAGATAAAGGCAAGTTTATTCCTTCCCCCTGTTTATGGCTCTGCTGGAACACGCTGCTCCTGCAAATATTACATCAAGGGAACGAGGAGAAGGCTCAGCTTCACCAGCACGCTTCCCTCTCACCCAGATCTGGGCATCGCCGCTCACAGCCCCGATCCCAGCGAGGGACCCGGCCGGGCTCCTGCTGCACCCTGCCTGGTGGCAGCGGCTCTCCGCCTGCCAGCCCCTGTGCCACTGATGCCCTCGGCTCCTTGTGTGGGACTCACCACGTCCCTTCTGCTTCCTCGGCCACCTGGGCAGCGCTCGGTTCCAGCCCTGCTTGAAAGCAGCCCCTGGGGAGGGAAGGAGGGGGTCCCAGCAGAGCCCCCGGTGCCAGGCGTGGGCATGGGGTGTCCCTGCCACCGTGCTGGCAGCGTGCTGCTGCCCAGGCTGTCGCAACGAGCCACGAGGCTGGGAGCTGTGTTTGCTTTGCTGGAACAACGTGTCACCGCCGGCCGAGCCTCGGTTGCATCATCCCGAGGGGGGACGGGAGAGCGGTGCCCAGCCTGCAGAGTTTCAGCACTCCCCAGTGGGGTGATGAGCCGCCACCCCCGGGCTGCCCCAATCTGGGCTTTAAATCACCGGCAGCCAAGTGAGCCCCAAAAACCCCTCCGTGGGGCGGGCAGCTGGATGGACAGACAGACAGACGTGTCCAGCGGGATGGGGGGTGATGGGGACAGCTCCCTCTCTCCTTCCTGGGAGGTGGAGGCTGTGATGAAAAGCTGTGGTGACCGGCACCTGGGCACACACCCAGCTGCTCACCAGCAGGATTTGCCTCAAATACAATTTTTTTTTAACTAAAATCCTATCTTTTTGCAGAGCTCCTGACCCCAGACCAGCCTCACCACCACCTCCTGCATGAGGATGGATCCCTGGGAGCAGGGGCTGGGGTGATTTGGGGGATCTCCATCAGCAACATGGGCCACCCTAGCGTGAGAGGACATCACGTTCCCCCGAAATCAGCCTGGAGGCTGGGAGCGAGCTCATCCCCAAGGGTCAGGGACACCCCAAGAGGTGCTGGACCCTGAGGGTGGGGTGGTGTGAGGACAGCAAAGGAAATCAGAGATACGAGCAGGAAATAACAAACGTGAGTCAGAAGAGAAGCACGCGCACAAGGGCAGCTTGGGGAAGCTAATCTGCAAGGAGATAACGCTGCTGGGATGGGGGAAATCAGACACGAGATTGTAAAAAGGGAGAACCAAGGCTTTCCAAACCATCCATCGTGGGTCTGTGCATCATGCCTGGCTGCGTCACCCATGGGTGCTGGGGGCAGCGTGGGCTGGAGCCATGCTCAGCACCCAGCCTTGGATGCTGTGGACAGCACGTGCGTGTCAGGGCACCCCGGCAGCCTCCAAAGGCTTCCAAAGCCCCTGAAATCCCACCCTGGGTGCTGATCCCCCTGCAGACAGGGCTAGCCCCCGCACAGCCAGCCTGCTTTTAGTCTGCTGGAGATTAAGCTCTCTGGGGGCCTAATGGCAATTCTTTTGGCACGCGTTCAGCAAACCTTAATCCATCTTATCTCCTCTCTGAAAGGATGAGCTCGGTGCCTCTCCAAGCGCTCCATGGGGAGCAGAAGCGGCGGGAGCCCTGGCAATGCGCAAGCTGCTGCGGGCTCCCTGGGGATGCCCTACATACAGCAAGGAGGTGGCAGGGCAGAGGCCAGAGCAATTTGACAGCCTGGGAGGAGGAAGAGGATGACGCCAGGGAGGCTGACAGGGAGTGCCCCGCACAGCAGCACCTTTCTCCCCAGAGCTGATGTCACTGGGAGTCCCGGCTGGAATACAGGGAGCACTGGTTTATTTGGGATATGCCTGGGTGTGGGCCAGAGGTGGTGTCTGGATGGGACAGGGTTTGGCCCTGAGGCACATCCCTGCTCCCTCCATGCAAGGGCTCCCACACCAGCACTGGCTCCATCCCCTCCGCTGGGCTCCCTCGGTCCCCAGGGATGCCCCCGTTATCCCCACGGTGTCCTGAGAGCATCCCGGCACTGCGGGGTGTGGGGCCGTGCTCCCACTGCTGCTCTCACACTCGGGCACACAAACCTTGAACCTGCCTGGCTGCAAACCTGTCCTGACACCACTAATTATAACCGTGCTAATTGCGCAGCTCTGCCTGATTCGTTTGGTCAGCTCCACGGCTCGCTGTCACGGGAACGCCAACGAGGGCTGGCATTTGCCCCCCTGGCCGCCGTCTGGAGCACGGAGCCGTGTCTGACACCCAAGGGCACCGCGGCTCAGCCCAGCACAGACACACGGCCCCAGGACTTGCGGCGCAGACGCCCTCCAAGTGCACCAAGCACCTCCAGCACCAGCCCCCGAAGGTGACCGGCTGGGTGGCAGCCAGGCAGCCAGTCCCAAACCCCCCAGTGCCGTGGGATCTGCCCTTCCTGAACCCCTTCCACAGGAAAGCAGAGAGGACAGAGAAACCATGTGCAGAGCTTGAAATTCTCCACTTTTCTTGATCAAAGCTCTGCTGGCAGTGGGTGTTTGGGGACTTTGTTTCCAGACGTGGTGTCCCTTGGGTGACCGATGGCCCAGGGGCTCGCTGGCTCCTGCCCTGGCACCAGACCAGCGTGCTGGGTGCCCAGAGCTATGCACGCCTTCACAGGGAGGTTTCCTGCTCGCAGTTGGGCTCATGGCTGTGGTGAGATGGCTGGGGACAGCGGCAGGAGGTGGTGGTGGTGCTTTGTGCCCCTTGCACCCATGGCACTGCAAGGTGGGACCAAACCCACCAGCCCTGCTCCAGCCTCCTGTAGTTTTGCACCATTTGCAGAGGGAGTCCCTGCTGGTGATCCTGTTGTGGGCTGTGGCCAGCCCCATCCCCAGCCCTAGATGCTTACAAAATCCCAGCACGGACCATGCCCTTCTAACCATGGGATTCGAAGGAAGAAAAACACCCCTGGGCAGGAGGGGTTGGTGGTGGTTGCGGCTTTCCAACATGCTTGAGCAACTTGTTTGTGCTCTTCGGCTGTGGGAGCTGTGGGCTCGGGTGGGCTGGTCTCACCTGGACCATGAAGCATCACCAAAAGGTGCTGGGGCTGTGGTTTGGGTGTGGTGAGGCTGCTGGCGCCGAGGGAGCCGCGGCACGTGCGGGGCAGGCGAGCTGCAGCGGTCCCCAGTGTGGGCAGCAAGGCTTTTGGTTTCCAGTTTCCTTGTTGAAACCAGAAAAATATAACCACACTTGGGAGATAAAAAAAAAAACAAAAAAAAACAAAGCAAAACAAAACAAAAGAGCTATTTTGGTGGGAAGGAAATATTTTTGCTGAAATATTTCACTCTTGCAATTAGCCACACGCCCTTTCCCTTGGCTGTGGGTGGTGGGAGATGCTGCCGGCTGTCTCTCCTTGCACCTCTCGCTTTCACTCCTCCCACGGCCGTGGGTAGAAGGCTCGGGGCCCCCGGGTGCCCTGGCACTGGTGGGCGAGCAGCCAGCAGGGCCCTCATGGCCCCCCCCGAGCTGCGTGGGGACAGCCCGGTGGTGGCAGTGGCAGGGAAAGGGGTGAAAATAAGAGGGGCAGATCCCATGGCTGCAGCATCCCTGCCCCTGGGATGCATCCCAGCGAGGCGGTGATGATCTCTCCATGGCCGCAGCACCCATGGGTGTTGCCTCTGCTGCCGGATTTCCTGCTGGAGAGCTGTGGCTGGGCCATGGCTCAGCATCGCTGCCCGCCGGCCTTGCTCCCGGCCTTGGGCCTGTTTGCTTCGCATCAGGCTGTGTCCTCACCCCGCCGCCCGTGAGTCAGCGTCTCGGGGCAGCCAAAAAAGCCCTGCAAAGCCCCGCGGGTGCTGCTGGGGTGAAAGCCCAGCCAGCGAAGCCATCGCACTGCCTGGCCCCCAGCCCTCCTGCCTCCCCAGCGCGGTGTCACGGAGCTCGCTGGGGATGTGTGAGCCGGGCACGGCCACCAGCCCTGCCACGGGCTGGAGTCGGAGCATTGAGGGACCCTCCCCAAGATCTCAGGAGCCTTGGCTGGAAAATGCAGCAGCACTTGCAAGCGGCGCTCATTCCCTCCTCGCCTCCCAGAGCTCCTTTTCCCTCTGGAAGAGGAAATGAATTAATTGAGCGGATGAATTGAGCAAGAATTAATTGAGAAGGAGAAAACAAAGCTGGATATTTGCAAGTGAGACGTGAAGCACTGCAGGACCTGCCCGCCACTCTCTGCTGCAGGGGCGCAGAGTTTCTGACCCCGGCTCGTCCCACTCCAGCCCCAGCCACTGGATGCCCTTGTGTCCATTCACGCCCTGCTGCGTTGCATCACCGCTTGAACGCGGGTGCATGCCGTCTCTAAAGCAACTTGCGGCTAAAAATGGGTATAAAGTTTGATCTGAGCCCGTGCCAAGATTAATTTTTAATTGCTTCTAATTTCACTCTGCTGGTGTTGGCGAGCCCAGCCCGGCAGAAAGGTCGAGTGGCAGGTGCAGGGCTGGGTTACCCACGGGCAATGCTCCGGCCGGCGCACACCGGAGGTCTGCAGACCCGTGAGGGCTCGGGCTTTTCAGCTCTGGCAGCAGACAGGACCAGTGCCCTGTGGTTGTCTGCCTGTCCCCGCTGTGCTTGTGTGGGCTCCTGGTTCGTCCCCTGCTCCCCGTGGCTCTTAGCAGCCCTGGGAGCCCCTCTCCTTGCCTCCAGCTGATGCGATCAGGCATCCTGATGGAGCCCCTGAAGCCAGGGACTTGCAATTTTTCAGCTGTTGCCTTAGCGCATCCAAATGACCCACGCGGTGTTAGAAATTGCCATTAAACCCCAAATACCCCCTGGCATTCCTGGGTCCATTCCTGCCTCCCCCTTCCCATCCCATCGCTGGGCATCAGGGGAGTGTTTCTGGCACGGAGACATGCAGGGAAGCCCAGATTCTCTGCTTACATGCCCCAGGGGGCATCTCCTCTGCCCAGCATCTCCCTGCCCTGCTGAGCAGGGATTAGGAGCCTGCATTCCCAGGGCAGCTCGCGGCTGCCGTCAGAGAGAGTGCAAATTGCTTGGCCCTGGCTCAGCACCCCGGCACCTTCCACAAAATCCCCCGAATGCGCCACGCTTGCACTGACAAAGCAAACATTTATTCAAATGACAAAGGTCACCCCTTCCTTTTTTGACAGCTATTTTTGTCCGTTTTGCTAAAGTCCAAGGGTAAAGGAACTGCAGAGGCAGGCACGGCACGCTAAGGATGAGGCTCCAAGCCTCACTTCGGTGTGTTGGAGAGATTCAGGAAAGAGAAAATGAGCCTAAGCAGCCATCCTGGGCAGGAGCCGGGTGGAAGGGCTCATCCCATTTGCTTTTCCCACAGCCGTGAGGCCAGGGCAGCCCCATGAGAGCCCGATGGCCCCGTCCCCATGCACCGTGTGTCATCAGCAGGGACCTGCCCCTTCCATACCCAAGTACCCCTCAGCCAGCCTCCAGCACCGACGTCCCCCCAGAACAACCCAACGAGCTGTGAGATGATGTTTGTGCATATTTGCAGGATGCATTCCCTCACTCAGGGGGGGTGTTAATGGGCAGCTGGGCTCCCTGCGAGGTGCTGGCTGCGTCTGGCTTTCAGCAGCACCCCGAGGCTGCGGGAAGGGTCACAGCACAGCCTCCCTGCCTGCACAGAGCAGCCCTCAGCATCTCAGCAGCGCCCAGAAAGCGGCACCTCGGTGACACCGGGTCACAGCCAGCACCTGAAGATCCTCCTGGAAAGCACCTCCTGGGTCTGGACCTGCTGATGGGCTCTGTTCAGTGCAGGGGTGTCCCCTGGGCATGGCGCAGTGCTGGGGAGGGGGACACACAGTGGAAAGGCGATGCCAGCCCCCTTTGGAGCCTGGAGGTGTGGGGATCTGCAGACCCCAAACACTTTGTGCTCCCTGAGCCGGTGAGCCCCAGCCTGGCCCCGTGTCCCCGCACATTGCAAGGAGGTAGATGTCCTGGGACATCACGGGACACAACCACAAACCTTGCCCCTCTCCTGGCTGCTGTTTTGCCTCTGTGTGAGCAGCTCTGCCCAGCCACAGGCAGCAATGAACGCAGTGAGCCTGCCCCAGCTCTGCCCTGGCCCTGCAGCACGGCACAGCCCCGAGCCACCCGGCGCCGTGCCGAGCCTTCTCCCTTCTCGCCAGGGTGCCTGAGTCATGCCTGAGTTACAGGAAAACCGTCCTGCGAAACCACATTCCTGGCGGTAAACCCGGGCTGGGAGCAGCTCTCAGCCGGGTGGCACGCACGCAGCTGCCAGCGGGCTCCTGGGCCGAGCAAAATGCTTCCTGCTGCAGATGCTCTCCGGGTGCTCCTGCTCCCCTGAAAAGCCGCCTGGAACGCAGCTTTCCTGCAGAGCCCCAGCCAAGGTTAGTAGCAACATATCCCCAGGGAGCCACAGGCTGGAGGAAGAACATTGACCAGGAACCGCCGGTGGACTTTCTCCAGTTGCTCCAGAGACAATCCCGATGACAGCCGAGCTCCCCTGCACGGTCCGATGACATGGTTTTCCCTGCTGTGACCATCTGTGCTGCCTGCCGTTAATTCCTGCACGTTAAAGAAAATCCTTCCGAATATTAAACCCGCATGAAGGCACTGGGAGGCTGCCGACCTGCCCTGGGCATCCCCAGCTCTGCCCCTGCCCCTCTGCTGCTCCCAGCTCCGGCCGTTCCCAGGACACCGATGAACACTGGAGCACCCAATGCAGGGCCCCCAGCACTCTCACTGCCTGATTTCACCCCTTTGCATTATTTTAAGCCTCTTTTATTGATTTTCTGCACTGCTTCCCTTGCTGGTAGCAGCACTGGCCTCTCCTTGTGTCGCACCCCCAAAGCAGTCTGACCCTCAGGGTGTTCGCGCCCGGCTCACACGTGGGGTGCGAAGCCCCCCCCAGGCTGTGGGGGTAGGTTTAGAGCAGATTTCTTCTGCTCCCTCTCTCTAACACAAATCCTGGCCCTGCCACAGGGCTCCGAGAGGACTTGGTGTGTGATGGATGCGCACTGTGGGGTCTCTTCCAACATAAGATGTTGCCTGGCCGAGGATATCGACGTGGTGATTTCGGAAACATCAGCCACTTAGCAGAAGCAAATCCCCAAGCTGCAATATTTCAGTGACACTTCACACACTGTGCTGCAGTGGGGCAGTGCCTGGGCTGCCCACCCTGACGGTGTCACCGCCGGCCACGATGGCTCTGACACCCTGAGCTGCTTCGTTTGGTGGGAAACCTCCCCTCCTGGACCACTTCTTGGGGGAAGAATTTCATGGATAACACTCAGGAGTTGTTTTTTGTTTTTTTTTTCCCTTCATTTTGCAGTACGGAAGCAATCCCCAGGCACCCTGACCCATGCAGGGAGGTCCTTGGCATCTGCGTTTTGCCTCCACGGCTTTTCCTTGTCGCAGGGAGACTGACAAATGCCAGACCCACGCTGCTCCCAGGACACGTGCTCAGGTGCGGTGGTGGCCGGAGAGCATCTGAGCTCACAGCTCGGATGCAGCCTTGGCCCCGCTTCAGGTTCGTTTCCCTCTGCTGAGCCAAGTCCTGCGGACCGAGGCATCCGTCCGTGCAGGGTGAACCCCCCCAGCGTTTGTTTTTCTAAGAAATTAAAACCAAACAAGGGCCGCTCTGTCCCAGCCATGCCCGAGCAGCGTGACTTCACCCCTGCTAGCCCCTTCTCTTGGCTGTGCAAGAGGACACAAGGCAAAGGTTGCTGTGATACTGGCAAGGTGCAGGACAGACGGACAGGTCCCTGTGGCTGTGGGTGCTGGTTCCTGCCCGTGGGGTCCCTGTGGGTGCTGGGTGGACGGAGGCTACTGCCTGGGCAACCTGCGGGTGCCAGCCCCGGAGCCACTGCATCAGCACAGCTGCTGGGGAGGGGCTGCTCAAACCCTTTGTGCTTTGGGGCATTTTCACCTGCTTGTTTTCAAGTTTTCAATGCATTAATTAAAAACTGTGTTGTTTTTTGTTTGTTTGTTTGCTTTGTTTTGTTTTGTTTTGTTTTACATCACATAATGCCTGTAGATCCTGAGAGGTGTGAAAATTGAGAACAATTTTAGATAAACATTAAAATACACTTATAGACCCTCCTGGAAAATATCCATGACAAGAAAATCTCCCTTGCCTTGCCTTGCCTTCCCTTCCCAATGTGACCACCTGCAGGAAATGTTCCTGTTCCCACGCAGGTTTTCCCGGACGCGTCCACCCAAGTGCACCTTTGGGGGATGCTGAGGAGCATCACCGCCACCTCACCCGGTCCCTTGGGGCTCGGCCGTGACCGTTCCCATTCTTTGCCCACTGGAGCCAGTGGGGGGGAGCCGGGCCGTCACGGCTGTGAGTCACGACCTGGGCAGGAAGGTGCTGGGAGAAGTTTGGGCCCCAGCTGGGACTTCCAGCACCGAGCCAGGAAGGCTGTGCCTTTTTCCCCTATGACGAGAAACATCCCCTCTGCCCTTGTTCCCGTATCTGGGGCTCTGCAGCCCGCTACCACGGGTGTCCTGAGCCTGCAGCTCCCTCCCCACGGGACAAGCAGCCGTGGCCCCGTGGGGGTGCAGGGGGTCCCATGGGATCTGTGGGTGCCCCATGCTGAGCAGCACTCGCCCTCCAGGCACCCTGCGAGGTGTCAGCCAGGTGGGGAGGTGCCCGGGACCCGCATGGACACCCGTCCTACGTGTCCTGAAAGCCTTCCTGGGCAGCAGAAGTGACCCTGGGGTTTATCACACGGCCAAAAAAAGCCGTTTGTGCTGCGACAGCAGATCCAGCCGATGAGGGCTGTGCCAGCAGGACGGAGGGGTCACGGCCACCGGCGGGTGCTGGCGGGTGGGTGCTGAGCGGTGCCAGCTCCGCCTGCGCCCCTGTGGCAGAGGAGGAGGGGACGGGGGGACCCTCCTTGCGCCCCGGGGGTGTCACTGATGCTTGCCACAGCCACGCTCTCCTCCCTTTTGGGTATCTCCTTCCAGAACAGGCAAAGGAAATGAAAGATGTGCAGTCCCAGCTCTCTCAGCCTCTCCCCGCAGCAGAGGGGCTCCAGGCCCTTCAGTATCTTGATGCCCCCCCGTTGGACTTCTCCCAGCACATCCACGTCTCTCTTGTACTGGGGGGCCCAGCACCAGCCCCAGTACTCCAGGCACAGCCTCGCTGGTGCTGGACGGAGGGGCAGGGTCTCCTCCCTTCACCTGTGGACAACACTTTGCCCTGCGCAGCCAAGATCACCATCAGCCTTCTTAGCAGCGGGGGCACATTGCTGGTTCTCGCTCAACCTGGTGTCCACCAGAACTCCCAGGTCCTTTCCGCCCAGCTGGGTGCCCCCAGCATGTCCTGGTGCCTGGGGCTGCACTTCTCCTTGGTGAACAACACGAGATTTTTGGCAGCCCGGCTCTCCAGACTGTCCAACCCCCTCTGGAGAGCTAGGGCGTTACTGGAGATATCCAACAGGGCAGGACCCACCACCAACCCCCAGCAATTCTCTCCCTCAAGCCTGGCCACGGGGAGCTCGCAGAGCCCATGGTGCACAGTGCTCGGGCTGAGCCCAAACCCCTCCAGGCTGACACTTCCCAGAGCAAACTTGTCCGAGCAGCACAGCCTCCTGGGACCAGTTAGACACCCAAAAATGAGTTTATTTTTATTTATTTATTTATTTTAATTCCCAACTATACTGATTAATGGGGAGTCTTTCACGGCACCAAGTGGCCTGGTGACAAAGGCACCGAGCTGCACACAAGCACTGACCCTATTGTCCACTGTTTCCATCCAAAGGGTGGTGAAGCCCGGCACTGGGCAATGTGCAGGATCTGGCCCCGCTGGCATAGGGCCGGGAGCACCCCGGGTGCTCTGATAGGCATCGTTCTCCCTGGGAACCTGCAGCTCCCTGCGTGGATGAGTCACGAGCCCAAGCAGCGAAAGCCAGTAATCCAAAACACATGTTGCTCAAATTCAGTGATGACTGTAAAAATAAGGGTCCAATTTCTCTGGCTGCCGAGCCTCCCACGTTAACCAAAGTGCTCCAGTTTCCTGCCTGATGGCAAGGGTGACCTTCCACACAGTGACCCAGCGCTCTCCAAGGAGTCCGGGGCACAGCAGGAAGAATAAAGGGTAGCGAGAACTTGCATAACTCCCATCCAGCCCGCCAGGAAAACAAGGGGCTGGTTGGGATGAGCGTTGCGGGCCTTTTATGTTGGCTTTTTTTTGGTGTGACGGTGGAAATTAGTTCCCCTGCTCCTGGCTGAGGGTGCTTGGAGCCTCCCCTGGCTGGGAAAAAAACCTCCGAGGTGTAAGGGGGGGAATCCAGCCAAGCTGTGACCCCACAGGTGACACCACAGCCGGGTGCTGGCCTGCACCCCATACGGGCTTGGGTGCACCGGGGCTGCCGGTGGTCTGTCCATGGGGGCCCTGTGGAGCGAGGATGGGAACGGAGCCCGGGGACGTGGCCACTCTCATGGCACATCTGGATCTCGCTGCAACCATTTCCACGTTTCTGACTCACCCCGCTTGGAAATTTGTGTCCGCTCAAGAGGAAATTCCATCAAACGCAGAAATCTTTGCGAACACACTGACGGAGGTGTCCCTGGCGCTGGGGCTGGACAAGGACCAGGTTGGTGCTCAGCAGCCCGGGACAGCCCCGTTGCAGCTCTTTGCCTTGCCGGGAGCCTCCTGCACCGTGCTCAGCACCAGCGGGGCGGTGGGGCTGGGGGCACAACAAACCCAGCTGCCGAGCAAATTTCGGGGTTGAGTGACCCAAAGCGGTCGGTGGCTCTGAGCCCCCGCTGCCAGCTCAGGGTGCCGGGTCCAATCCAGCCCGGCTGGAGGTGCTGTGGCTCTGGGCAGGCTGCAGGAGCTGGGAAGAGTGTGGATAAGTGACCCCAGCACGTGGCTGCTTTAGCTGGCAGAACCATTTCACCAGCAGGGCTGTGTCTGTGGGTGTGTGACACATAAATCGCTGCTGTGACCTGGTCGGAGCAGAGACCGAGGCAGGTCGGGAGCCCGGCTCTGGCTGGGACGGCTGCCAGCGCCTGTCTGGGTGAGATGTGCTGGCTGCGCTCAGCTGGGGTCGGTGGGAAATCCCTGCTGGATGCCTCCTGACCTCCACTGGAACACAGCAATTGTTCCTCTGGAAAATCTAAATTTATCCCTGCGACGGTGACGGCACAATTCACACATGCCCCATTCCCCTTTCATTGGAGTCTCCCTCACGCCTGCTCTTTCTAACAATAAAGCGAGGCTGTGAGCAACCTTCCCGTCAATTCGCATCCCTCCCAGCCCTCCCGGTGACGTGAGCGCAGGGCTGAGCAGCTGCAGGAATGCAATCTGAGTTCAGACGGGGCTGAACTTTCGCACAGTGACCCGGGGGTCAGCGTGGGAAGGAGCGGGGATGGAGCATGGCAGAGAACAAAGACACTCATCGCAGCCCGCACGCCTGGCGGGGTGCTGCGCCCGGGCACTGCCTCTCTGCTTGGGCTGGGGGCACCACGGGGAAGGGAGGGTGCAAGGAATAAAATGCAAGTCACTCGCTGAGAGAAGAAATCTGGGGGATGAAGGCCCGCAGGGGAAAGTGATGGGGGAAAGGGGAGGGTTGGGGGAGGTCGCGCAGCAGCAGAGGTTTGGGCACGGCCCTGGTCCTGCCCTGCTGTGAGCTCCTGGAGCAGGAGGGGAGGTCCTCTGCCCTCAGAACCCACACAGGGGGGCGATGGGGATGGGGGTGAGGAAGGAGATGAGGATGGGGATGTGGTTGAGGATAGGGATGGAGTGGGGATGGATGGGGGTGGGGGTGAAGCTGGGGCTGGTGATGCTGGTTGCAATGAGGATGGAAAGGGGATGGGGATGGGGATAAAGATAGGGAACAGGGTTGGGAATCCCCTGTTACTTCAGAGACACCTCCACAAAAATGAACTTGTTGAGACCCTGCTGGGGACAGGGGCTGACCCCTTCGGAGCATGCAGAGACCTGGGTGATACCCCAAGGACCACGGTGCCCTGCTGCTCCCTGGGCTGCTGCAGTCCCCGTGCAGGGTCTGCCGTGCTGGTGCTGGTCCTTGTGGGGTCCCTCCTGAGCGTGGGCTGTGCTGGTCCTCCCTCCCCTGGCCTAGGGAAGGGGACAGCTTCACTCCCATTGTGCCAGCAACGTCCCCAGGACCAAACCTGAGCTCTCTCCAGCCCCAAACCAGCCCGGAGCGAGCTGGATGGTTGCAGCCCCGCAGGGATCATCGCTGCAGCCTCCTCCTGTATAGGGCAAACCGGGGCTCCATCAGCACAGAGAAATGTGCTGAGATCCTCGAGACACTGGACTGTCCATTTTAACCTCTATTTAAACTCCTCGGCCTGCAGGGAGCACCTTCCCATTACCCTGCAGTCATTCACAGGTAGCTCAGGTCCTTTGGGGGGGGGACTTTTCATTTCTGCGTGTTAAAAATTCATATTTCTCAGGGCCAACTGGAGGTGTCCCAGTAGGAAAATGTATCCAAAGTAAAATGCATAAATCATGCGGCTTCTGAAGGGGCCTCAGCTTCTTGCATTACCTCACTCCCACCTCAGCACAAACATTGCAAATGCAGAAAATCACCAGTGGGAACGCGTTGGCTTCAGGACCCTGCATAACCCCGTCATCTCCCAGGCTGCTATGTGGGACAAACTCTTCTGTTGGGTAACGGCAGGGCAGGGAGCTGAGTTTCTCACAGGATTCATTTAGCCTGACGTCGTGAACCTGGAGTAACAGTCAACATTTGAAATCCTGCTTCCCTGTTTGTCCCAGTGACACGGGGGGGTTGCGTTTCCCGATCCGGAGGGCTCTCGAGGTGCTGCTGAGCATGTGGGTGCTCTGCCCTCTGCTCTGCAGCTCAGCTCCTGGCAGCTCTTCTGCTGCTGGGCTGCCAAAGGATGGCAGGCACAAGGTGAAAAGCAGAAATTTCACGTTTTTTGGGGGGGGAGTGATCCTGTCCGGGTGCCTTTGGCAGGGCACGCAGTGGGTGTCCCCTGGAGGGGGGCAGATGTGCCAATCGGCCACAAGTCGGGGGGCAGGGGCCAGCCTGGTGCCCTGAGGCACTGAGCAGGGACCCCAGGTGATGCCCTCACCCTGCTGGGGGGCAATTCTCCATCACCCTCCCCCCAGTGTCCCCAGCTCCCCCCAAGTGACCGCAGTGGCACAGCAGGGTGTGTGCAGAGCCACCCCACAAACCTCAGAGGTTCGGAAAAGGCAATGAGCACAAGCAGCATTTTTTTTTTGTTTGTTTGTTTCTTTTTCCCCTTAGGTTTTTCCTAGCTGGTCTTTTTCCCATTCTTTTTCTATTTTCCTCACTCGGAAAATTCTTTCTGGCTTTGTAATAAACGCAGAAGCAGTGCCAGCAGTGCGGCTGGGGGCTCCCAGCCTACTCCGCCTGCCAAAATCTCCCAAATTCCTCCTGCCCAGCCCCTACCTCGGTAACTCCTCCCTGCGCTGTCAGCTCCAGGTGCTGGCTGGGAGGCCTCTTGCTCACCCTTCCTGCGAGAAGCAGCCCAGGAAATGTCTGTGAAATGCTTGTGAGCACGGCAGGGAGAGGCACAGGGCCAGGAGAGCAAGGAGCCGTCAGCTGGTTTCTCCCACACCCCTGTGCATAAACTCACCTCCACCGAAGAGGAGCTTCACCCCCAGGGACAGGGAGTTTGTCCTCCCAAAGTAAAAAGCACGGGAAACCCAAGTATCAGTCACTTACTTGGTCATAGGAAAAGAATTTGGAAGTGGACGTCACAGCTCCTGCCAGGCTGAAGCTGGGAGAGGCTGGGCTTGGAAATCAGCTCTGCAAACTCAGGGTTAAACAGGGACCCCCGGGATGGGGGACGCCACTGCCGAGCGCTTTTGGACAAGAGGAAAAAGGGACGGATGGGCCCTACCCTGGGAGCGGGGCTGGGATGGAGGCAGAGCTGCTGTGGGTTCACCCAGCTGCCAGGGCTGAGCGGGGGGAGCTCGGCACAAGCCCCCGCTGCCGCCTTTGTCCCCCATGGGCTCAGCAAGCGGTGGGCAGGGGGCTCACCCCTGAAGGCCGGCAGCTCCAGCTCCAGGATGTGTTTTACCGTGCTGAGCGCTGGGGCAGCAGGAGGAAGCGCCCGGCAGGGAGGGAGCAGAAGGGCTCCATCTGCTCTCATCCGAGCAGAGCCGAGAGCGGCTCGATCGCAGAGTGTGAATTCCTTCGTGGGGAGAAAAAAAAAAAAAAAACAGAGACAGAAAATCGCTCTAAGCTAGTGGAAAAAGGCAGAGCAAGAGGGAAGAGCTGGTAACTGGAGTCAAGGACATTTTCAAATGAAATAAGATGCACATTTTTCACAAGGGGATGAATGAGCCTTTAGCTGGGGGAGGAATTCATCCTGGATTTCTTAGGGATGGGGAGTGCTGAGACAAATGAATGCCCTGCTCCCCCCAGGCGCACAGAGGAGCATCACCCACCAACCCTGTTCCTGCAGTGTGCAGCAGTGCCATGGGCTGGGGGGCACCCAGCAGAGCCCTGCACCCACTGCAGGGCACCAGCACCCATCAGGGCATGGCCTGGGAGCCCGGTGCCTGCAGCACACGTCCACCCCAAGACCAGCTGCTCCCAGCAGGGCCCAGCTCACCATCCACAGGGATCTCTGTGCCAAGGGCTGCTGGGGAGAGGCTGCGGGTGCAGGCACCTGGTGTGGCAGCACCCATGGCTGGGAGATCCACGGGGTTTGCTCTGAGGGGGGTGAGGCAACAGGGTGGCAACAAGGGTACCCAGGTTAGGATGTGGGGTAGGGCCATCAGCATGGATGGGATGGGAATGGGGATAGGGATGGGGGTGGGAACGAGATGGGGAATGAGATGGGGATGGGATGGAGATGGGAATGGGGATAGGGATGGGGATTGGATGGGATGGGGATGGGATGGGGTGGGATGGGGATGGGGATGGGATGGGGATGGGAAGGAGATGGAATGGGAGGGGATGGGGATGGGGGTGGGGATGGGGACGGGGATGGGGATGGGGATGGGGATAGGGATGGGGATGGGGATGGGGATGGGAAGAGGATGGGGATGGGGATGGGGGTGGGGATGGGGACGGGGATGGGGACGGGGATGGGGATAGGGATGGGGATGGGGATGGGGACAGGGACGGGGACGGGGACAGGGACGGGGATGGGGATGGGGATGGGAAGAGGATGGGGATGGGGATGGGGATGGGGATGGGGATGGGGATGGGGATGGGGATGGGGATGGGGATGGGGATGGGGATGGGAAGAGGATGGGGATGGGGACAGGGACAGGGACGGGGACGGGGACAGGGACGGGGATGGGGATGGGGATAGGGACGGGGACGGGGATGGGGATGGGGATGGGGACGGGGATGGGAACGGGATGGGTGGGCGACATGGCAGGGCGTAACACCAAGCATGCACAGGGCTTGTCAGGGAAGGAACGGCTCTTCCAGGGGCTGGGGCTGCGGGGAGGGCTGGGGCTGGGCCCGGCGGTGCGGGAGCCGGAGCGGCTGCGGGGGGAAAAGGAACAAAGCGGCGGGGCCGGGCGGCGCGGGGCGGGCCGGCAGCGGGGCACTCCCCGCCGTGATGCGGTCGGTCCCCGCCCGAGCGCCGATAAAAGCGGCGGCTCGGCGGCGGGGCGCGCACCGGGACCGGCCATGCAGCTCACGGGGGCAGCGCTGGTGCTGTGCGCCGCGGCGGCGGCGGGCATGGCGATGGCACCGGCACCGGCACCGGCACCGGGATCGGGACCGGCACCGGCACCGGGACCGGCACCGGGGCGAGCCGCGAGCGAGCGGCGGGCGGTGGCGAGCGGCAAGGAGCGGCGGGCGCAGTTCGCCTCCTGGGACGAGGTGAACGTGATCGCCCACGGGCTGCTGCAGCTCGGCCACGGCCTGAAGGAGCATGTGGACAGGACCAAGGGGCAGATGCGGGAGCTCGGCAGCCGCCTGAGCGCTCACAACAGCTCCATGGGGCGGCTGCTGCGCCAAGCCCGGGAGACGCAGGAGCAGGGGGAGCTGCTGCGGGCCAGCGTGCGGGAGCTGGAGGGCCGCGGCCGGCAGCTCTTCAACCTCTCCGAGACGCTGCGGCAGCGCCTGGAGGAGGTGGCGGCCGACAAAGCCGAGATCCAGGGCCGGCTGGAGCAGCTGGAGAGCCGCGTCCGGCAGGCGCTGCAGGCGCGGCCGGCAGAGAACCAGAGCGCCAAGGACCTGGGAGCGCTGCAGGTGAGCGCGGGGTCGGGGGGATCCCGGGGGACCCGACCCCACCGGGGGCACCGGGAGAGACCGGGGAGGGGGAGCGGCCCCGCGGGAGCCGGGGGAACCCGATCCCACCGGGAGAACCGGACCCCATCGGGAAAGACCCGAGCGGGGACGCCGGGAGCGAGCAGGGGGAGCGGCCCCGGGGGAGCCCAGGGGGACCCCAACCCGACCCAGGGGGCACCGGGACCGGCTGGAAGAAGCGGGGGGGTCCCCGCCCTCCTGGGAGCCACTCGTGGGGATTGGTCACAGGGAGAGCACTGGGGAACCCGACCCTCTCCGTGCACCGGGAATAGCTGGGGGGGACCGACCTGGGGGCACTGGTGGGGACCCACCCTCCCAGGATGCGGGGATCAGCACGGAGGGACCCGAGCCACCCGGAGCACTGTGACAGCGGTTTGGGGGGGACCCGACCGATCTGGGGACACGGGAGCCGCCAGCGGGGACCTTGCCCCAGGGCACTGGGAGCACCGTCCTGCCCAGCTCCGTGCCGTACGTGCTGCTGCGGGGTTCACCGAGCTCTTCCCCCTCGCAGACCCTGATGGATGCCCAGAACTCCCGAATCGAGGAGCTCTTGCAGAAGATCAAGCAGCAGCAGTACAAGCTGGACAAGCAGAATCTGCAGATTAAAAGCCTGCAGAGCAAGGTGAGCACCCGTCCAGCTCTGCACGCAGCAGCCGTGCGGCTGGGGACCGCAGCTGGGTCCTGAAGCCATCCCTCGCAGCCCGGCTGGCACGGCACGCTGGTGGCAGCAGCAGCAGTGTTGCTGTCCTCTGGCTTCAAGTCCCTGTGCTGTGGTGTTGGTGCACGGGTAGCAAAAAAGCAGAGCTGGGAGCTTCCATTGTGTTTGCACAGTGAAATGTGAGGTGTTGCTGTGTGGGAAACGAGCAGCTCCGCGCTGTGCTGTTTAGTTTAGCTGTAGAATAAAATCATTAGCATGGGTGTGGAAAAAAAACAAAAACACAATAATTCCTGGCTGTGCCAGCCTTGGATGCCTCCTGCTCCTTGAGCTCTCTGGGCAAGTTCAGCCCCCAGCTCTGGTCTGACCCCAGCAGCATCACCCTGGTGATGGGGGGCAGCGATGCCGTGACCCCTCGGCTCTGCTGGGCAGTGGTGTTGAAAATGAGCCGAGATAAAACTGTTCTGACTTGCATCTTCTCTTCTTTGCAGGTCAACCTACTGATCCCCTTACACCTGAAGGACAACAAAACGCAGTCTCCGAAGTGGAAGATAAACCTGAAGAAAAGCCTCAGCCACACCAACCAAAGCCAGAACGCGAGCGTGGACTCTGTGCTGACGCAGAGTAAGTATCTGCACGTGCCGCCCTGATTCTTGCTGGGGCGAACCGGCAGCAGTTGCAGTCATTCGGAAACAAAAGGTTCAGTTGTCCTGACTCAGGATGTGAGATTTGCTCACAAAACTGGGGCTTGGGAGCTTGGCCAGGCTGGATAAGATCTGGAGCATGGGCAGGACCCAGCCTTTGGGATCAGTATTAGTCCAGCAGGAATTCAAGGGTTTAGGAGGAATTTTTCTGCCTGATGTTAAGAATGCAGTGGGAAGCAAAGAAACTGCCAGCAGGTATTTTTCTCTCCTCCCTGGAGTTGGCTCTTGTTCACCTGCTCTCACTTTTGCCAAGCAGAACCTGCCTCTTGGGTAGAAGGGAGTGTTAGGGTGTCCTAGACCATGAGAAGACAGCTACATCCTTGTGCAACCATCTCCCTCTGTATTTGGGTCTCAAAAATGAAAGACGAGTGCCTCAGCTCGTACTATCCTTAGAGGACGGTGCTGAGCTGCAGCAAATGTCTGGGAGCTGCACTGGAGAGTGGCAGCCCTGGGAAACGTGTGCTAGAGCAGGCGAGTGGATGTCGTGTCCAAAGCCCCTGTTTCTGCCTGGAGCATCCCCTGGGGTGGTAGGGATGGAGAAGCTCCCGTAGGGTGGCGGAGCAGCCCGGAGTGGGGTCTCGGTGGCTTTCCCCGCCACGCTGTGCCTTGCAACCTCCCTCCCAGACAGAAACCTGCGATCCCGCAGGGTTCACTGGCCGGGAGCAGCTGCTCTCGTGTCGTGTCAGCTAAATCACAGCGCTGGCTCCGCTGGCCAGGGAAGCGTCTGTGCAGCTGTCTGGGGATGTCCAGTCTGAGCCAAACAGAAAGCGAGCAGGGCGAGGATCCACGGGGATATCCTGCTTAGGGCTTAACGCAGGGACAGCTATGGGAAAGCACATGGGAGTTTGTGTGTGGAGCCCCGAGCTGTCACCGCTGTGCTTGAACACTGGGTGAGCTGAACAAAGAATCCGTGCAGATAAGGAGAGAGGGGACGCGGTGCTCCAAACCCCTGGCACCTGGCTCCATGGGGCCAGCCAGCCCTGCTCAGAGCGGTACTATCAAGCTGGAGGACTGTCTCCGAACCTCTTTTTTCCAGTTTCCTCCCAGCTTTTTGCTTTGTGGCTTGTCTCCAGCAGCGTCTCCTGCTCTCCTCTCAGCTCCGGGTTACGCCGAAAGTGGGGTGCAAGGAGGTGGGCGAGGTCTGTGCTATTTCCTGATGTCGAATGTGGGCTGCGCCGGCTGGTGGGTGCCGGGTGCTGCAGCCCTTGTGAAACGCCTCGGGGTGCAGCGAGGACCCCACCACCTGTGGGGGTGCAGCAAGGGGGTGTGTGAGAGCTCAGCACAGCGTGTTCCTGGCTCCCATCTGCACACCGTGGATGCCCTCAGCGTGCTGGGCATCCCAGCCACAGCGATGGGCTGACCGAGCCACGAGCTCCCCCCTTCTCTTGCCTAATCCCTGTTGTTGATATCAGTGACAGAAAACAAATTGGCTTCCTTTCGTTACCAAGTTAAGTGAGTTTTCTGGCAAATCTTAAAGCAGACAATAGCTGGCAAGGCTGGCCCTGTGCCCCCTGCCTGGGAGGCTTGCTGGCAGCTCTTGGGGCAGGCAGTCGCGGCTCAGCCTCGTGCCCGTGGCTGCTCCCTGCCTATTGTCAGGCAGACCCACGATGCTGGCACAGCCCAGGGGAGCAGCAATGAACTCCACCAGCAGCCTTTTCAGAAAGACCCTTTTATTTGCATCCAGTGAACACAAGTTTTCAGGCCAGGGATGGCGGCGTGCCAAGCATGTGAAAGTTGAAGGCTTGGAGCAGCCTCGAGAGTGAAAGGTTTAATCACTTGCAGAAAGAGGATCACGTCTTTAGGCAGAGCCTGCGCTCCCTGGCAGCTGGCCGAGTAGGCGAAAGGTAAAGCCCCGCTCTCCCCGTGGTGCCGGGACTCCAAAATAATCGGGCTGCGGAGGGTGAGGGGCAGGCGATGCAAACAGCCCTGGTGGGGCGTGAGCGCAGCCAGGCACACCCTGCGCTCTGCCAGGACCGTGCTTGTCGCAGGTTGGTGACCTCCATCGTGCCTGGAGATCCCTCTGGGGAAATACTGTGCCATGCCTGGGGCTGCTCCAGTGAGCCTTGTTGATTTGAAGCCTTGTTTGGCTAAATAAAGGGGGAGGGAAAGGAAAACATCCAGTGCAGCCAGGAGGTCTTGTTGTTCTGCTGGTGCCATACGGATGTGCAACGCAAGCTGGAACTAACGAGCATGTTCCTCAAACAAAGATTGAGCTGAGGCTGTTCAAGCAGCTGCATCTCATTCAGCTGCTCGAAAGTCCCCATTGCCCCAGGAAAACAGAAGAGATAAGAGCGCAACGAGCTTGGTCAGAGCCCAGTGAAAAAACCAGCTGGGACAGGGCTGACTTCAGCACGCGGGAGCCACGTGGCGCAGCCGAGCATCCGCCTGGGCACCGTCCTGCCCGGGCTGGCGATAGTGTGGGAGAGCAGGCGAGGAGAGCACCGAGGGCTTGCTGCTGCTGGGAGCCTCCGGGACATCCCTGCTGCCCCTGTGTGAGCTGGGCTCGCCGTGGGGTCAGGGACCACCCTGGGTGGTTCCTTCCCTTTAAGCCCCCTTTGCCTTCCCTGGCTGCTTTTGCCTAGGGAGCGTGCACGTTGGCGATGTGCTGGGTGTCCCAAAGCTTGGTGCTTTGTGCTTTGATCCTTTGTGCAAAAAGCTCGCCCTCTGTCCGCGTGCATGCGGGCTGGACTCTTGTCCTGTGCTGGCACCGGTGGCCTTGGTGGCACCTGGTCCTGCCTTGGCATCAGCCAGGGACTGAGGGATGCGAACGGCAGCACTGGGTGTGAGAGGGGGGCCGCCAAGGCGGGGAAAGTTCATGGCAGGGGGGGAGCGAGAGGGGGATAAGGGGCTGGAAGTGGGTGAAAGGTGGCGGTGGGTGTCACATTGCCATCCCCCGCCCCCCTCCCCGCTGACCTTTCCTCCAGTTCTGGCTCCGTCGCCCCAATGGGGATGGGGCCGGGGATGGGGCTTGGTGCGATGTCCTGCGGGGCCGCCCTCCCCCTCAGCAGCCCAAAAGGCCCCACTCCCACCCTTTGGCCCCAGACGAAGCCCTGCGGCTCTGAGGGGAGGCTGCTCTCCCTGCCCGGACCCCCGTGAGCTGCTGCTGCTGTGGGGGGATCCCAAGAGGGGCTGCAGGAGGGGGATGCCGGTGTTTGGGTCTCCCCAGCCGCCTGCATTGGGGTCACGCCGGCAGCAGCTGCGAGCCACCCGAACCCACCCCACGTTCAGCCGGGAGCTGCCCCCACAGGCGGGGAACAGAGCGCCTTTGTCTGGGGGTGACAGGGCCGGGGGGCCGGGGGCACCTGTCCCGGCACACAAAGAGCCCCTTGAGCGTGCCGGCACCCCGTGGCTGAAGGCTCTACGCATCCTCCAGCGGCCTTTCGACTCGGGTTTTGTAACAGGTTTTTTTTTTTTTTTCCTTGCCGGGTGCTGCGGGTGGCGGTTCCTGGCTGGACTTTTATCAGCGCTGTTGAAACGGTGCGTTGCTGGCAGCCAGGGGCAAAGTCCCCAAGGGGTGGAAGGAGAGGTGGGAGCCCCGTGATGGGGGTGGCCTCACCCTGTGCGCCATCAGCCGGGGCTCCCCGTGCCCACCCATCCCGGTCAGCGAGTCTCAGGGCACCGCGGGCTCCCTGCCGGCCAGCAGCAGCAGCAGGCTTGGCTTGGATGGGTGTTGGGCACCTTCTGGACTTTCTTTCCACCCTACAGCCCTTGGAGGGCTCCAGTATGGGGCTGAGATGGGGAAGCTTTCCCCTCGCAGGTGGTTGCCCCGTCCCAAACCCTGGAGGGAGCTGGAAGTGCCTCGGTGTCTGCCCTCACCGGGGAGCCGTGCTCCCCAGCCCTGGGCTGCTGCCGCCTGGCCCGATGCCCAGCTTCTGCCTTGGATGGGAGCCCAAATAGCTGTGTTAGGATAAATGGGAAGATATTGGGTCACTGGCGTTGAAATGCTGGGGACCCAGGGGCCGCCGGCTCCAGCACACATCCAACACCACAGCCGTAGGTGGCAGGCTCCTGGCGAGGGCTGCGCCTGCTGGGGTCGTGTTGACAGCAGCTGGGGGACAGGGGACACGGGGATGTTTTCTCAGACACCTTCTCCTTCTTCCTGCAGAGCTCCCAGAGGACTGCCAGCAGCTCTTCCTGGCCGGGCAGCAAAGCAGCGGCATCTTCCAGGTGCAGCCCTCGGGGTCTCAGCCCTTCAAAGTCTACTGCGACATGACTGCAGGTAACGCGCTGGGGATGCCGTGCGCCTCGCAGCACGCTGCACGGCGACCTTGCCGACGGTAGCCCTGAAATGTCTGTCTTTAATCCCCGCAGAAGGTGGCTGGACAGTGATCCAGAGGCGCACAGATGGCTCTGTAGACTTTGACCAGCTCTGGGATGCCTACAAGAACGGCTTTGGAGACCTTCATGGTAGGTGGATGGTGGCATCGATCTTATCACAGGCTGAGTGACAGCCTAACCAAGGATGAGTTATTTCCCCCTTGCTGGCCCCTAGAGATCTCCACGTGCTGGAGCAGTGTTGGGGTGAGGAGAGGGGGGACACCGCTGTTGTGGCTGGTCTTTCTGACTTGTCCCACGGCCTGGCACGCAGCGGCTCAGGTGCTGCAGTGTCCTGGCTTGTCCCATCCAGGGCCCCATTTGCCTCCTCAGCCCATCCTGTTCCTGGGACCAAGGCAAAGTTTCTTGTTTCAGGTGACTTCTGGCTGGGTCTGGAGAAGATCCATCACCTCGTCCAGGAGGGAAGGTACAACCTCCTGATCGAGCTGGAGGACTGGGAGGGAAACTCCCAGGCGGTTCAGTTTGAGTTCAGCCTCGGTGGAGAGAGCACGGCCTACACCCTCAACCTGCTGGGACCTCTGTCTGGAGAACTGGAAAATGCCATTGGGGACTTCAGGCAGCTGCCCTTCTCCACTCGGGATCGTGACCATGACCTCAAAGCTGACACAAACTGTGCCAAGCACCTCTCAGGTCAGTGCGGGCTCTTCCTTCCCAGGGACGGGTGCTTTCCCTTCCACCCCCGGTGGTGGGCTGGGGCTGGATGCTCCCTCTGGTGCTGAGCTGCTTTGTTCCCTTGCTCCTGAGACCCGGGGGAGGAGGGATCCATGGGAAGAGCCACGTGAGGAACGGGGATGGGAGATGAAGCCATGGTTCAGGTCTTGCCCCAAGCAGCTGCCTTTGTGAGGGCTTTGCTGGCTGCCGCCCTCGAGTAAAGCAGGGGCCAGACCCAGGCCTGAGATGGGGCTGCTGCAGGGTTTGGTGAAGTTTTATTGCATGCAAGAAAGAGCAGCAGGGACATGCAGACCTGTCCTGAACTCCTACTGGGTCTGTGCAAGGATTTCCAGTATGTGGGACTCCTCAAATGTGTATGAGGTCTTGTAAGTTCCCAAAGCCCTGAGGTGTGGGGAAAACAGGGGCAGCAGCTGTCTTGAGGCTGGGTTTGTGTTCTGGCTGGAAGTGCTGTGGATTTAACCCTCCTCTGCATTGCCCTGGTAGGTGGCTGGTGGTTCAGCACCTGTGGCCATGCCAACCTCAACGGGAAGTATTTCCGCTCCATCCCTCGCCAGAGGCACGAGCGCAAGCAGGGCATCTTCTGGAAGACATGGAAAGGCAGGTACTACCCTCTGAAGTCCACCACCATGAAAATCCAACCCACAGCACTGGAAGCAGAGCCCTGAAGCTGCCATTTCAGACTTGACCTTCTCCGTGGAGCGCAGATGTGAGCTCCGTCACTTGGTGTTTACAGAAAAATCAGCTCACCCTCCCCAGGAAGCCCCCAAGGACAGTTTCTCTTTGCTAGCAGCCCTTTAGTGGGCAGGGGCTGTGGCACGGCGCAGCTCCTCACTGCACGTAAAACAGCTCCGTGTCACCAAAATCCCTGGATGGGAGCTCCCAGAGCAAGAAGGGAGCTGCCGGCAGGGAGGCCAACCTCCAGAGCATGCCTGGGGGTCTTCAAGTCATCTGGTGCTTTCTGTCCCGCCTCAACACTTCCATGCTGGTTTTGATGAGCTGGGGTAAAAGGGAGGCAGGGGAAGGGTTTTGCTACCCTGCCCCAAGCCGTTGGGTACTGAGCCTTGCCGCATCCCACCTCTCACCGTTGTTCCCAAACCAGTTGTACGCACCCCCTGTGAATTTCCCCCATTTCCCCCTGGCCCCGTGGGGCAGGAGCCTCTGACATCTTGATCTTGCTTCTGCCATGCAGCCCTGCTCCCGTGACTTCAACCCGCTGGGAATGTGGGTGTCACTGGGAGGATGCAGGGCTCCTTTTGGAGAAGGGGACTTTGGGCTCCCTCGCCTCCCCTGTCCCCAAAGCTTTGAAGTCACCAAAATTTCTGGCTGTGCTGGCATTTGCTGGGAGCTGGAGAAAACACTCCCAGCTCCAGGAAAGGAGCTCCTGCCTTTGGGGTGGGTGTCAGGAAAGGGGGGCGAAGCAGGTCCCCAAAAACTGTTACGGGCCAAGCTGCCGTCTTGGGACTTCCCAAGCATCCTGCCCTATTGAAGTCATATTGACTACTGTGCTAGAGCTCCTAGCTGCTAAATATTGTACATAGTCATTTGTAGGATGTTGGATCTTTTTGATGAGTTTCCTGTTTTAATTTTGTTTCTGTATTTAAATGCAGTGTTAAAAACAATGTGGTGTAATTTATAAATGTTGGAAAAAAACAAGTGTAGTTTGTGTATTTTAAACTTTTTTTTTTGTACTAAAATATCTTTTCTGAAGATGTCTTTTAATAAAAACAAGCCTGTAACTGTCCTGGCTGGATTATTTGCCTGATGGTTCACCAGTAAAGTTGCGTGGGAGCTGTGTGAGCACGCAGCATTCATAAACTTTGCTTTTATGTGTGCTTGATGGGAATAAAAATTTTCCTTCTTGGCGTGAAGAATTTGCAATGGGCTTGTGGACCTCTGAGACAGCAGTGCCTGCTACAGCCCCAGCCATAGTTTTCAGTCTGCTTGAAGCTGATGGGTTTCTATACTTTTTTTTTTTTTTACACTGGAAATCAAGCCCTGGGACAGCAGTGACAGTGAGCAGGCCCTTATTCCCTGAAGGCAGAGCTTCGCACTGGGGAGATTTCTTGCAGTCAGCAGGAAGGCTCCGTGCTGGGCAAGCACTCGCCAACACCTTGAACAGGAGCAGAGGCTGAGCTCTGAGTTACCTGCATGGGTTAAAGTCAGATCTGAGCAGGAGAAGTCCCAGTAAATAACTTCTTACCTGTTCATAACATACGTGCATAGTAACCTCCGTGAGTATTTATTGCAGGTTTGGGGCAGTTGTTATGTGTAAAGGAATCTGGGGATCCAGCAGAAGCCTTGGTGATCTGCTCCTCAGGTAAAGCAGCAGGGCATGTGGTCCTGGACACATGGCCCATCCAGAGTGATGGCAGAGCTAGAGAGAACAGCAACGCATCGTTAGCTGATCATAGGTGTTCTACTATAAAGCACAAAAGATTAAAACAAAAAACAAAAAAACAAAAAAAAAAAAAACAAAAAAAAAAAAAAAAAGAGGAGAAAAAAAAATTAAAAATTGCTCATGCCAGAAGGGAAAGACAAGAATAAACACGGCTTGGGAAGTCCCATGGAGCAGCTGCACAAATACCTGACGCACCTATATGTGGCTCCTGTGTCCACCCCCCTTCCCCGGGGAAAATCCCGGGGTTAATGATAGCCCCAAGCACAATTGCACAAAGAGCCCATTACGCTGCCCTCTGCTATCTATCCGCTCCCTCTTGCCTTCAGAAATACATTTTTAATGTTCCATTTGCTTAATCCAAAGCTTGTTTAGTCCCTGGGTACAGCAGCAGACCCCGGAGGGCCGTGTTTTAGCCTGGATGCCGAAGTGATTAGCCTAAGGTGGGCTTTGTGCATAAAATATAAATCAGTGCGGCAGCCACACCGTGCCCAGCCATGGGCATTTTTCGGCAGGACACGGGGTTGCCCCCCAGAAGTGCATTTATTTGATCTTCAGCCCTGAGAAGAAGAGGCTGCAGGACAATGTGGGGGTTCCCCAGTTGGGGGATGGCCGAAAACCCCAAATCCTGCCCACACCCAACACACACCCGCTGCTCCCTTCTCCGCCTGCGCCCCCCGACCCCAGGTCCCCCCAGCAGCGCTCCCCGGCCGCCAGCTGCACCAGCTTCTGCGACCGGTCTCTGCGCACACAAAACGCGTCCTGGGTCTGTGTTTTCCTCCGAAACCTCCCTCGGATCCTCCAGCTCCTTCATTTTGAACAAACGCCTCGAATGCGGCGTGTGGCAGCTCCCTCCAGTGACAGCGACAGAAACGGCACCGGGCGCCGCTGCCCCCCCGAACCCAGGGCGAGCACCTCCTGGCACCCAAAAAAACCCCTCCATCTGCCGTCCTCCTCGAGTCCTCTGAGCAAAGCCTCGCCCTGCAGCTGGAAATACAGGCTGCCACTTGATCCACTTGATTTTTATTTTATTTTATTTTTTTTGTTATCCAGCCTGCGTCACCAAGGGCAGCCTCGCCCCATCCTCACCTCGCAGCCTTCTGCCTGTCTCAACGGTGCCTGGGGGATGCTTGGTGCCCAGTGGTGACATGGAGGTGACACATGGCCAGTGCCTCTTTTTGTCAAGAGGCAGCAAAAATTGGGAGGAGGGCAGATGGGGGCAGCACACTGAGCCCTCTCCAACCAAGCAGGCTGTGGGGTGCGGTCTCACAGAGCAGCACAACAAAATGAAAAAGGCAAATTGGCAAAGTGGTGCTCGAGGCCAAAATCTGGGGCAAGTCCAAGAAACAGCTGATGAATAACACGGCCCGAGTTCTTTGTGGCTCTCCCCTCCTGGCACAGCCCAGGCAGTCCCAGACAGGCTCTCTGGCACCCACGGAAAAAACAAGAAGCCGATGCCATCGGCGTGTCTGCTGTCAAGGGTTTGCACCCCGGTATATTGTAGTAAAAATGCTTGGGGTTTGTAGGACATCTGCAGCCAGGGGCTCAATGGACTATGATCAATTCTAGATGTGGGATTCTCAGAAAGTGTCTGCAGACACGTTGCTCCAGCAGCAGCTGGTGACACGTGGCTGGTTTTGGTGACACAAAGCCAATTCCCCAGCACAAAACCCACCACGAGCCTGGGGGACTCCTGAGGGCTGACAACGGGGGCTTGGGGCTCACGCATAGCTCGGCATCGCCCTGGACCTCAGGGCTCTGATCCTCCTCCTGCCCAGACATCATCTCACTGCCTGCAGCCAGCATCAAAGCTCCGCACGCACACGTCCTAGGACACTCTCTTCAAAACTTAAGGCAGCATTTCCCAGGCAGGGGGAGAAGAAAGGGATTTGGATCCCAACCAGTAGGAAATAACTTTGCTTTTTCCTCCTAAATCCCCTCCAGTATTCAGTTCAGAACTAATTAAGCTGCTTGTGATAATGAAAATGAGATGTTTTATCTCACCAGGGCTAAGGGAGGTGTGGGAGACGTTTGCCTTAGGGAATCCCAGGGTAATTCCCTTCCCTAGGGGCTTCTGCAGCTGACATATCACAGCCCCGCTTCTCTTGACAGCATTTAGCTGTTCGGCAGTTGGATGCTCGATATCCTGGGAGTGCTCGAGTCACTGCACAGCAGGGCCATTGGCTGCGGTCCTGCGGGAGGATGAATATCACAAACGAGAGACGCTGATAATGCCTTCCTGCAGTCCTGGTTGATAAAACTCCCTTCTGCACAGATTAAAAGCCTGATGCCCTACACCGTGTGTTCTGTGAGCGCTGAGATTGCAAAGAAAAGGTGAAAAGAGACTTCCTCCCTGCTTCCTCAGAAATCTCTGTCGGAGAGGAGCAATTTGCCTGAACCTGTGCCGGGTCAGGCGATAGCATCTCCCCCAGAGCCCCACACGTCCATGCGTTTATGGCTTTCCTCCCCAGCTGCTTCCGTTGCCTTTTATGCGATGCCCACACACAATTTCCCAGCACGGCAGCGGGACCGCAATGTGTGATTGCAACGCGCTCCGTTTCTCACCTCATTTTCAGACTACTGTTCATAAAAAAGAATAATAATTTTCACTGAGCAGGAGCTGGCTGATAAGCTGTTAGGCCGGGTGCTGCCTGCTCACAGGTTACCAGCAGGCACCGGGACCCCCCAAAACCTTGCTCCTGCGGGCCTGGGGGGCTCTGAGGTCTGGGAGAAGTCAGGGGCACCCCAGAGCCACACGGCCTGGGGGGGGTGAACAGGCACCCCCACGTCATGCACCGAGGTGAGGGGGGCCCAGGCGGTGGGTGGCACCCCCGGTCCCCCCCGGTCCCCCCCGGTCCCCTCCCAGTCCCCCCCCGGTCCCCCCCCCGCTCCCCCCGATCCTCCCCCCACGCCGCCGCCGTGCGGACTGAGCTCCGCGCTGCGCAGCCCCGCCAAGCCCCGCCCCTCAAGCCCCGCCCCCTCAAGCCCCGCCCAATCAGACACCACCCCTCAACAAAGGCCCCGCCCACATTTTCCCAAGCCCCACCCACCCTCGCTCAGACCCCGCCCACCCTCCCCCAGGCCCCGCCCCCTCTCCCCCCCGCCCCCTCTCCTCCCCGGCCCCTCCCTGCCCCCTCCCCTCTCATCCCCGGGTCCCGGCTCAGCCCGCCAAGCACCTCCCCTCCCCCCCTCCCCCCTCCCTATTGGACTCCTCCACCCGCCACTCAACGTCTTTCCGATCGCCTATTGGACAAAACCCACAGGGCCTTGGCGACGCCCGCCTCCTGCGGGCTGTGGCGGCCGCTGATAGGCTGCGGCCTGTGAGGAGCGGCCCCCCCCACACCCTCCTCCTCCTCCTCCTCCTCCTCCTCCTCCTCCCACCCGGCTGGGCCGCGCTCGGTGCCTGGCAGCCTGAGGGGTCGGCGCCGCCATCGCCATGGGCACCCGCGACGACGAGTACGACTACCTCTTCAAAGGTACCGCCCCGCCGCCTCCTTTGTGAGCGGGGCCGGGCCGCGAGCCCCCCCCGAGCCCACCCCGGGCCCACCCCGAGGCCCCCCGGGCCCACCCTGAGGCCCGCGGGGTCGAGGCCTCGGCGCCCTGAGGGTGCCGCTGAGGCGCCGCCCCCCTCCCCCCCCCTCAAATCCCCCCTCAGGGCCTGTCCCGGTGCTGAGGGAGCTCGGGCACCGCTCGCTGCTGCCTCACGGCGCCCCCCCGGCCCTCGGAGCCACTGCCTGAGGGGTCCCCCGGGGGTCGGCGTCGTGTGGGGGCAGCCCCCGGCTTGTTCTCCTCGCCTTGGGCCCTCTCTGGGGGTCGCCTCTGTGAGTGTTTGGGGCCGGTGTTGTGCCCAGGTGCTGGGGCTGAGCTGGGGCAGCCCAGGAGAGGAGCAGCTGGGCTGAGCAGCCGGCCTCGTGCTCCCCAACCTGTTGTGGTTTGGGTTGCGCCAGGTGATCGTGGGGCTTTCTTCCAGTCCAGACAATTCTTTGATCCCATGGTCTCCTGCTGCTGACATCCGTGGGTTCACCCGCAGAGCTGCCCCTCTCCGAGGTTGCCGTCGCTGGGTGGCCTTGGGGCTGGGGGTTTCTCCATAGGCAGTCACCGAAAAATTCCCCCGGAGCTGGATGTTGGTGCTTGCTTTGTGGCCGTGACCCCTGGCAAGGGCAGCAGCAAGGCTCCATTCGCTGGTTGAGGAAAGGAACGAGCGGTTACTCACACGCTGGAAATGATTTCTGGGTGGCTGTGGCTATGTGGTGCCTTTGTTTGACAGGCTTCAGGATGGCAGGAGGGAAGAGCCCCTATAGGTAGAGTTAGAGGAGAACATAAAGCAGAGGTCTAGCCTCGGAAAA